AAAAAGAAAAAAGAGGAACAAAATAAATAAATGCATATGTTATAAAAATACATAACAAATGCTTAAAAATAAGGGAAAATACAAAAATATCAAAGGGTATTTGTTGTTAAAACAATAAGTTACACACACACACTCAAGTGTGTGCATGTGTCTGTGTTGTAGTTCTAATATACTTATATAACTATTGTGTTTTTTTAACCTACTGTACTTTATATAAACAAGTCTCCTATTTCATAAATATTTAGCCATACAAAATCTATGTAATCAGGTCTTCACTCCATTTACCTTTTGAATGTTGCAATATCACACTTATAGCTAAAATAAAGGCATGGAAAATCCATTATATTGTGTAACTGTCAAATTCCATGTAATAGGTATTTAATTGAAGATGATAGATAGATAGATAGATAGATAGATAGATAGATAGATAGATAGATAGATAGATAGATAGATAGATCAGTGGGTGGGGGGAGGGAGGGAGGGAGGGAGGAAGAGAGAGAGAGAGGTCATGTGATCACCACTTGAGACCTTCCAGCTGACTTCCAACATGCAAAGTCAATGGGGGAAGCCAGATTCATTTAACAACCACATGGTTCACCCAACAACTTCAGTCATTTGCTTAACAACCATGGCAAAAAAGTTTGTAAAATTAACAAAGTCACTCAACAACTACCTTGCTTAGCACCAGAAATTCTGGTCTCAATTGTGGTTGTAAGTCGAGGTCTACCTATGGAATGTAATATCTGAAAAAAGATTGAATCTTTTTTTCCATGCTAAATTGATTTTATGAAGAAATCAAACATTGCAAATTGGGGGGAAATGGTGATAAGGAAAATTTGGATAAAAATGGGGATATTGACTTTGGATCAATTGATAGATGACGAAGATGAATTTTTAACCTACGCTCTGCTAAGAGACAAATACTATCGATCAGACATAATTCAGTGGAAATATTTACAGCTACAATAGCTGTTAATATTATTTAGACCAGTAGCATTTTCAATTTCTGAGATACCCGAGACATTAGAACAAGTTATTAAAACTTTTAAATTTTTTTTAAAAAGGTACTATTAGCTCTAATGACAATTTAATTTGATAGGCAGATGATTAGAGATAAGTAGAATAAAGAATAAAGTTTTTACATTGCCTAGAAAAATGGGAGTGTCTTAACTTCTATACCTAGAATGTCAACGAATCTTAACCTATGACTTGTACAACAAAACATAACATACAGAATTTATTGTACTCCATAACATCTGTATAGAAAAGGATTGCCTAGGCCAGGGGTAGGCAACCTTGGCTCTTTTATGACTCGTGGACTTCACGTGTAGCATGGCTGGCTCAGGAATTCTGGGAGTTGAAGTCTACGAGTCATAAAAAAGCCACAGTTGCCTACCCCTGGCCTACGATAGCATTTTATTGGAGATGAAATATGAATGATGCTTCTTTAAGACACAAGTTTTTACAATATCCTGTCCTTACTAAATTTTGGGAGAAAGTAGTAGTAGTAGTTGTTAATTGCGAAGTCGTGTCCGACCCATCGCGACCCCATGGGCAACGTTTCTTCAGGTTTTCCTGTCCTCTACCATCTTCTGGAGTCCATTTAAGTTCATGCCTACTGCTTCAGTGACTCCATCCAGCCACCTCATTCTCTATCGTCCCCTTCTTCTATTGCCCTCAATCTTTTCCAGAATTAGGCTGTTCTCCAGGGAGTCCTTCCTTCTCATTAGGTGGCCAAAGTATTTGAGTCTCAACTTCAGGATCTGGCCTTCTAAAGAGCAGTCACGGTTGATCTCTTCTAGGACTGACCGGTTTGAACGCCTTGCAGTCCAAGGGACTCACAGGAGTCTTCTCCAGCACCATAGTTCAAAGGCCTCAATTCTTTGTCGCTTAGCCTTTCTTATGGTCCGACTTTCACATCCATACATTGCAACTGGGAAAACCATGGCCTTGACTATACGCACTTTTGTTGGCAGGGTGATGTCTCTGCTTTTTAATATGCTGTCTAGATTTGCCATAGCTTTACTCCCCAGGAGCAAGGGTCTTTTAGAAAGTAGAGATCTATGTAAATGTGACTGTGTGACAAAAGCTAAAATTTTCACAGGATATTTCTTTTCTCCTGAGAAATAGCATATGGGAAGGAAAGAAATGTAATAAATACATATTGCAGCTTTCCCCAACCTGCTTTCCTTCAGATGCATTGGGCTACAAATCCCAAAACAGAAAGAGGTTGGGATATTGTAGTATGGTGGGACTTGGAAAGAATGCAGAAAATTGCCCTTCTTGGAATTTTCTGCTGATGACTTACAATATTGTTTGACCTGAGTTAACACTAAATCAATATGGAAGGATATTAATTCAGGTTTTAATTTGTTAGACTATGCTCAAGGCAGTTTGTTTGTTTAAACAAGTGTATATACAAACATACTTGTACAAATGCAAATATATTTATAAGCAAACATGCATACACACACAGTACTCATTTCTTTTTGCCCCATAAAAATAACCCTGACTGCCCCCAAGCCCCCCAGTCTGTTTCCAAGTCTAAGGACTGGCCTGAATTTGCATCACTTGAGTCCTAATTCTACATCATAACCACTAGATTAGACTGGCTGTCAAATTGAAAAGGTAACCAAAGGGAGTTGAAAGGGAAGAAGAATCCAGCTATCTTTTCTGTAAGAAAGTAATTTCATAAGCACTGAATTATAAAAGTCCCTTTGGGTTTATGTGAAACAAATTGCGAAGGCAAGCCAAACAAGCATAATCTAACAACAGTACAAGGAGAGCTTGTCAAGTGCTGATGGAATTTTCCTAAAAGGGGTCCAGAAATGGTCTTTCTGAATTTTAGTGTGGAATAAATTGTGGTGGTATATGTTTCTCAATTTTGACAACTTTAAGATGTATGAACTTCAACTCCCAGAAATCCCCAGCCAGCATGAATAGAAGTTCACACATTTTAAAGCTGCCACTGTTAAGAAACATTGCTGTAAGGAATAAACTACCAGACAAAACAAAGCCACCAATCTCTCCCAGCAAGTTCACCCCTGTAATATTGTTGCAACTATAGTATAGTTAACACATGAATTTGTGTCTGGCACACAGGGGGAAGCTGAGACAACATCACATTAAGGTGCGGATTTTATACTTTTACCTGTACAAGCTGAGTTTGCAATTCACTTGCAAATTCTCCTGCCAAAGACCTATATCACTTAATAGAGAGTCATGCAAAAGCATTCCTATAAAAAGATTATTTTTGTTTCTGTAGTTTTCTAAGCCCTTGTCTAAGGCATGAGTTGCAAAGAAATCAATTCATCAGTAGAAAACACACATATACTCAGGTCTGTTTTGTCCACCCCTAACTTTGAAGCACATCCTGTCAGCCAGATGGGAAGTCACTCTGATGAGGATAGGTGCAGGGCAGGATTCCTAGACTCCTCATTTGCTTGTTTGCCATCATCCCAAACATCTGGGTCTTCTCATTGACTGCTGGCATTATGCAAACATTTAGAATTCTCCTGTGCGTAGCCATTCCAGCTGGCACGGATGGAGGAGGAGCAACATGGGGCAGAATGAGAGTCTAGTGAGCCTACAGGGGACCGTTTGTTCTGGAAATTGCAGAATTAATGTCATCAAGCAACCTGTGTCTTGTTGTGTGAGCTTCATCACCAGGACCACGAGGGGAAAAACATTTCAGATGGAAATCCTCTGTTTAATCCACATGTGCCAAAGCAGAAGAAAGGGGAGGGGGAAAAAAAGCCTGCAGCTCTTCCTACTTTATCCTACAAAATGTCCCACTTGAAAGCAAAACCTTATTGATGGTATTATCAGTCAGCTTTATAGTCCTTTAATTCACTTCAGTTGGACTTGTTTATGGGTTCGGCAATTTCAAAACTTAAAAAAGTTGAAAAAGTAGTTCCTAGTTAATGGGAGCCTCTGGATCTCATTTATTTCATTTATTTGAAAGCAGAGTGTGGTTGTTTTCTAAGGTAGCCTGAGGCAGCACCTAGTTCATAGTTCTCTGCATAGTTCCTCTTGAACATGACTGGAGGGAATACAGTGCTGGCTCTGACTGTTAGTCATCCTGGTTGGTGTTGATCTGTATTTGAGGTTATATACTTTTGTACTGGAAGATGCTGCCCTGAGCCTTTTAACAAATAGAAATTAGGTACAAGAAAACCTCGATATAACCTGAACATTTTTAGCACCCATATAGTATGAGAAAGAGATTAGACTGTGGGAGAGAAGAGCACAGTCCTGACCCATTAAATATAGAAGTCCTTTCTCCTTTCTGCCCTTGCTCGCTGAAAGTGAAACAGAAAAACAAGTCTCTAGGCCAGGGGTGTCAAACTGCCGGCCCATGGGCCAAACGCGTCACATGGAAGCCGCGCCCAGCCCATTGCCGGCAATGGCAAAATCGGCCCGATACATTGTGCGACATCACGTGACGTCACGAGTTTGACATGCCTGCTCTAGGCCAAAGAAAATGCAGCATCCAGATTTAAAATTAAAGTCAGGAACAATACTGTCTTTAATAAAGAAAATATAAAGAAAAGATTAAGGTGAAAAATACAGTAATAAGACAGGAGGGAGAGAGAACATGCACAAGATACTCAGTTGTCTCATATGTGAAAAAACAATGGTTGCAGAAACTGTAAAAATGAAAATGAAGAAATTTTGCAACAGGAAGGAACTACAACACAGATTGTAAGATCAAAGTGTGAATGATACTGTAGAATTATTTAGCAGAAATTGATTAGAAAACTTGCAGGAAGCTACCACAAATCTCAGTGCTAATGATAAGATGAAACAATACCACTAATTCAGTTTTTCTCCTCACTGTATGAACGGAATATGTGGAACAAGCAATATTGTACAATTATAACGTGTGATGTTTCTGTTGGGTGTAATGAACCCTCTTGTGACTGTGCAGTGCAAAACAATCACTCTGCATAAAATCTATGCTCACCTGGTTCGTGATGCTATTTTTCCTCCTCTGCTAGTGTCCCCCCGGCCTCAGCCCCATGAAAGACGGCACAGGCTGCTACGATCGCCACATAGGAGTGGACTGTTCAGATGGGTTCAATGGTGGTTGCGAGCAACTCTGTCTACAACATATGATGCCATTACCAGAAGACCCTTCCTTGTACAATATACTTATGTTTTGTGGGTGAGTTTCACAAGTTTCTAGTATCCTCTAGGGTTGGACCTTACTCCAAACCATATACAGACAGGCAGATAGGATACTCAAGCTCATTTCAAAATAATGAATTCCTGACTGTTCCATATAATAATAATTTTAATATTCAAAGTTGTTGGTAGAAAAAAGTTAGGGTGGCAGCTGTGATAGTGCAATTAAAGTTGTGGGTTTCAGGTATAGCTTTAATTACACTGTTGTGACTTCCATCTTGACATTTTTTCCATTCCCTATGGATGCCTGTTACTATTTAAACAATGTCTAACTATTGCTTTTTGTTATGTAATATGGTATCTAAATAACAAGGGTTCCTTCCTGAAGAAACCTGCCAAATGTAGCCCATACCAATGAATATATGACAATGGTTGTCTTTAAACTGTTTTATACATTTCATATTCACTCTCTTGAGTGCAGCAATAATTATATATAGCAAGGTACATGTGTTTGTAATACTTGTGTATGAACCCTTTCATCCTTTTTTCCTGGAAAACTAACAATTCACAGCATTTAGATTCAATTTCTTGAAGGCCATGAGAGTATGAATGTAGCACCTTTCTGTAACCATGTACAATAATTTTGTTGGTTCTCAAGCTCACACAGCTATCTCTGCAGCTGCTGTATGATCCTAAGATACAGCTGTTTTAAAGAGTTGCACACAGGTGCTCTAATTATAGCTTTACATGTTCTGAAATATCTTTTTGGAATGAAAACTAAAGTACTGCATACCACTAATATTTAACATCTTTTGTTGAATCCTATGATAGTATATTTTGTTGCAGTGAAAGAAACGCTTATTTACCTGACAATTTTAGTGACAGGATTCTAGATAACAGATTAAAGAATTGTCTTTAGCAACCAGAGGTTGAGACATTGCATGGTCATGAAAAAATAGGAAACCTGTTGCCTCCAATTGTTGCTGAGTTATAGTTCTCATTCTAGATTTAGTCATTTCTTCAGTAGACATTTCTATAATTAGCGATTAAGGAGATTTTGCTCATCTCACTCAACTGTTGTTTTGTTATTCACCTATTTTGTTCTGATTATTTTTCAATTCTTTCTTCATTTGAATTCCACATATCAATGTCAGTATGGTTCTTTTTGTCCCCATGTAAATTGGTAGGGCATTTTATGAAATACTCCAGCATTAGGCATTACTTGGCACAAAAGTCATGCATGGAAAAGTTTTGCTGAAGTTCAGAAATATGAAACACCACAGAATTAGACCTAAACCATTAGTCTTACACAATGTTACAGATTTATAAGAGAGGAGCCGTGTTTTTCATCTATGTGACCATATTTGCTATACGTTCTTCCTTGAACACAAAAGATACTTCTCTTTAGAAATCTTGTAAATAGTTTTTCTTGTATTCCTTGGCAGATGCATTGAAGATTATAAGCTAGGTATGGACGGCCGATCTTGTCAGTTAATTTCGGAGTCCTGTCCAGGGGGTGCTGACTGCGAAGAAAGCCGAGAGCTGCCCATGAATCAAACTCTCTTTGGGGAAATGTTCTATGGTTACAACAATCAAACTCGTGAGTTGGCACCTGGGCAGGTGCTGAAGGGGACATTCAGGTGATGATTATATTAGGGGAAAAAGCTTGCTGTTCTGCGGGATTCCAAGTCCTGTTATTTGTATTATCTGTACTGGGTTATCCACAGTGCTTTTACATCATACCCTAAGCATCATACCCTAAGCCAGTGTTTCCCAAACTTGACAATTTTAAGGCTGTGGAATTCTGGGAGTTGAAGTCCTCATGCCTTAAAATTGTCAAGTTTGGGAAACACTGCCCTAAGCAAAACAAAGCTCTGCACAAAGCAAATTGCAAATTAAATTTTCCCAGGTTTCCTCATTTGCCTGTAGTAAGACTTGGGATTTGACCCAAGTGAATTTCTTTCAGGGACGGATGACTTCTGTTGAAGGACCTTTCTCTAGCACTACTCACCCAATTCCTGAAGATATTAGTATTCATGCAGAGCCCTCTACAGTTATGCTGTCCACTAAGAGAACATATTATCCATGAAACAATTCCATGTTTTAAAAGACTATGTCTTGGACAGGTGTGTAATAAAGGAGTTTTAATTGGATTAGAAGAAATACTCCTTGAAGTCTCTTTTATATTTACTCATGCAATTCCATTACCTTTTGATTTTTCTATTGAAAAACACTAGTTGTCTTTTTATCACAAATTTATCATAATAAATTTGGTAGATGACCAAGTTCTGGAGAAACAAGAGTTCTGATTTAATGATGTTTCTTACAGGTGATTGGCACATCCTCATTTACCTATTAAGTCAAAAATTAAGACATGTGAAGGGCCCTTTTTTCTCTTTGTGTGTGAAGTTTCCTAATGGAGCAAAAGAAATTTCAATACGCCTTACTCTTTTCTTTCTTTCTTTCTTTCTTTCTTTCTTTCTTTCTTTCTTTCTTTCTTTCCTTCTTTCTTTGAAGAAAAGCTCTGCACATGCTGGTTCTGCATTCACACAGTTCTTCAATCCTTCAATTTGTAAGAGCTGGAGGACAAAAATGGAGCCCAAAGAAAGGCTCCACTGGCAGCATTTCAGTTAATGGTCATGAGGAATACTTTGATATTGATGACACTGTATGTAGACCTAAAATGCAGGATTTTAAAATAATTTTTAACAATTTTGAAGAACACACTTTCAAAAAAGGAAAAAAAATAAAAGGAACAATTGTAATAAAATATTTTCATGATACTCTTTATTTCCACTTACTTTGATACATTGATTATAGATTTTAATGAGATCTGTGAGCCTGCATATTTCAACATCTAGAGATGGATGAAATATTCAATCTGTTGTCATAATTTCATCTGGTTTCAAATTGCACTGAAAAGTCTGCTTTTCACAAATATATTTTGAAGAAAAAGTTCAGAACCTTGAAAGCCTTTGAAGGTGTTTATAGTATTGTATAATTTGTACAAGGAATTTAGTTTAGGAAACAGCTATACATAGATTTGCTAGGATTTTGCTTTGAACTTCTCATTTGGCACTTTTCAGGATGAATAACTTTGCTCGTGGCTTGGAGCAACAGCTGCCAGATGGACTAATGTTGGCCACTGTTCCACTAGAGAATCAGTGCCAAGAGGAGCTATCTGAACCTACTCCTGATCCAGATTTTCTAACTGGTAAGTGATCCCTTTTAGAGGTCATTTCTACTAGTTTTTGCATTAGTCTTGGGTCAGTCCTCAAACTGCTATCATGCTATCATCGTTTTGGAATTGAGTCAAGGTATTTCTGTTTTAGTTACAGTTTATCTGAAGCTATTGGTTTACCATCATTAACATTTTTCCTTAAATTCCTAGGTTCTTTGGGTAGGAGGCAAGGGGGTAATCAAAATGTGCATTGTGAGATAAATCATTTAATTTACATATGTGTAAAGATGAAAGGCCAGGATTTGTGCTGACAACAATAGTGGGTTGGTGCTTTGTGAGAGAGCAGATATGGAGTTGAATTGTTTGTGGTATAAAATTTCCCAGATGTCACTTTCTGAATCCTGTCATTTGTTCAACCTTAAATTTTTGCCATATGGATATCACATGACTAACTGGAAAAAATGCAAATATTTTATGGTCAGTCAGTTTAGTATAGATCAAAAACGTCAAACAAATTTTATAAAAAATAAGAACAAGAGATACATTATTTTGGTGTTAATGTTTTTTCTTTTAAAATTGGCTTGAGATTCTCCACATTGCCATAGAACAATAATTACTGTGTTGCCAGCTTGTGCAGTTATAGGTCAGATACTAAAAAAGATGGACACTAGGTAAATATGCCAGGATGCTTACAATTAAGAAACATTTATTCAAATGGACTCCATAACAATAGCATCTGAGATTCTCAGAGCAGTGTGGTAAATGTGGACTGTGACAATGTAGATGGACATGACTCCCAAAGGGGTTGCTTTTGTTAGGCAAGGTTTATAGCTCGTCAACCTCTCTTTCCGTCCACTCCCAAGTTGCTTAGTTCAGGTGTAAGAAAAGGAAAGTTACATGATATTAGTGACAATTAAGTGTCTAGTGTCTATTGGGTGCCAGCTATGACAAAAGAGGAAAATAATAATATAATTGAAAAATTTGTTATTTCAACTTGCAAGAGCAAATAGGAAGACATATCTTACCAACTCATCCTTCTTGATAGTGCTCATTTAAAAAATCTGGGACAATCACAGAACATAGAGAGTTGGTAGGTACTTTTCAGACTTTCTTTTCCAGTTCTTTGCCCACAGTAGGAATCTTCGGATCAATAACAATCAAACCTTTGCTTGAAAACATCCAGTGATGGATTAATACGACTTCAGGAGGCAAGTTGTTCCATTGTTTGATAGCTCTCATGGTCAGGAAATTCTTCCTTATTTTGAGTTTGGATTTCTCTCTGTAAAGTTCCCACCAATTTGGCTTTGTCTTATCTGCAGGCTTGTGGAGTATAAATCCAAAGTCATTGAAGTATTAGAAGACGTCTATTTTGTCTCCCCTTGGCTTTCTCTTCTTTAGGCTGAACATGCCCAATTCTTTAACTGTTTTTTGTAAGATTTTTTCTCTCTAAAAAGTTTATTGTCTTGGTTGCTCTTTGCACCTCAGCATCCTTTTTGTATTGCAGTGACCAAAACTGGACAGGTGTTTGGACAAGTATTCCAAGTGTGATATAACGGTCACTGCATATAGTGGAAATATCATTTCCCTTGATTTCAACATTATACTTTTCATGCAGACTAAGACATCTCTGTGCTAACTCATACTTAATTTATGGCCTACAAAGTTCCTGCCCAGAAATACTACTGTTAAACTAGGTACCACCTATCTTGTATTGCCCAAAATGCAAAATCTGATACTTTTCATCACTGAACAGTATTTTGTAGGGAAGGGCCTAATGTCCAAGATCCCTTTGAACATTGAGCCTGTCTTCTGAGGTATTAGCAATCCCTCCCAGAATTGTGTTGTCTGAAGATTTGATGAATCTCTCTTTATCTTCTCATCTAAGTCAACTATAAAAACTTTGTGGAGGTCTGGATCCAGGACAAAACCCAGAGGTAGCCACTGTCTAATTATGTAGACATAGATCCATTAAGAACCATTTATTTCCTTTGTTACTCCTGCACATGTTGTTCTGAGATTTCTATCTGCATCCACATCCCATGGCATCAACTAAAATTGCAATTTTTCCATGGCAGCACATATTAAATTGCTCTTTAAAATGTAATTAGTAGAAAAATTAACACTATAGGGTAATGTCTTGTGACTGATCTTATAGCCAGAATTACAGTGAGGCATTAGAAGAAGGAGATTTAGTATATTAAGACGGAGAAAGTAAGAAAAATCTTTTCAAGCTCTTTTTAATTACTGAAAAAGTACCGATAGACATTTCTTTGGTGTGATTAGAATTTCCCTTCTTCTCTATCCAAACCTCCAAGACAAAAAGGCCACTATTTCCTGAAGCCTTCTTTCATGTACTTGCCTCCTTCATACCTGTCTTTGGATTTTTTGCTCTCTGAACTATTGTGCCTGGGAAACTGGACGCCATCATTTATTATGCAGCAAATGATTGCTTTCCTTGGCTCAGATAGAAGATGGGTAAAAGTCTAAGAAGTGAGTATAACCTCAAAGAATCTGTAGAAAGTTAACCAAGAACAATTGCATGGGAGATGATTTAGATGTCATTGGAATGTAGTCAAAGTTATGTATGATTCATGGAAAGAGAACTACAATTTGTTTTTGATCAGAATATGATAAATATTTTGATACAAGAATGTTGACTTCAGATCAAATGTATTTTGTCCAGACAAAAAGAAAAAAGAAGTTGAAACCAGATTCTGACTTAGAATTCATCTTAGAACTCGATTTGCATGACATATACTTGATTGTAAACTGCATTGAAATATTTTAATGTGTGTTTTTAATAAGTACATATAGTAATAGTGGTATTATAGTCCAGAATAAATGTAAGTTCAAACAACTCAAGTACAATTCACAGTATGTGTTAATTGAAGCATAATATAGTGTGCTTCAATTAACAAATTTGTGGAAATACCATGAATCAGAAGGCATATTTTAACAAATGTGGTAGATGTAAAAAAAAAAAAAAACCCACTTAGTAGTACCATCCATAGAATTTTAGAAATTACATTTGAAATGAAATCACAATTTTAATAGGTATAATTTCAGAATATATTGACAAGAAATATAATTTACTGAGATACTTGCTTATGGATGTAAGAATTAACTTGTCCAACATTGAAAGAAAAATACAACACTAATGATATCTGATTAGGAATTTAAACTTGGAGCACACACAGCAGCGACAAAACTAATGGCATATATCCACAACAGAACTTTAACCAAATTCAAGCAAGAATGCTTTCCATTTTCAGTACACAATATATCATGCCACAAGGCTAATACAAGCATTGTGTGGGTTCTAAGGAGGTCTACATGTTTATAAATACTTCAGATCAGTCAAAGTATAAAAAAGAGGGATGTTAGAAATGAAATACCTATTTTTCCAAGCAGCTCCTTTTTTCGTTTTAACATTTAAAAATATATATTTAAAATTGCTATAAACTTTTTTCTTCTTATATTTAAGGTTTAATTTATCTAATAAATTTATTTATCCAAACTTTGTAGTATTAACAATTTTTCATTTGTATTGCATAAATACCTCTGAACTTTATTTTATAATGTATTGTTCATATCTTAATGATGCAATAAAACAATTACTTGGGAGAGAAAAAAAATCTGGATATGACATAGCTTTATGGTGAAGGCACAAAACTTAGCAATTAAGAGATGATTTCAGGATACTTGTCATTTAAAAAAAAAATTGATAATGCTGATTGGAATGCCAGTGTCTTTCCAGGGTAGCTTAATTAAAAATGCAATTCCACCTAGAATTTATATCTTAGAAAAACATGTTCTAGGGTTTGAAGAACCTGAGAAGTGCAAAGGTATTGCCGAAGCATTACAGGGATTCTTTTACATCTGGGATCTATAATTGCAAAACTTACGTCAATATCTTCTAATATTTACTTAATAAGTTCCATGGCTTTCTTGTAATCCATATTTATAAGAAAATCAGGCCTGCTTCACACCCCACCGGATCCCTCCTCCCCACCTATTCCTGTGTCACCAATTATACATTTACCTTTGGAAGATGTCTGGAGCTCATAATGGGAAGGAGAGCAGGCCTCAGCATCCCTAGGCTGTGGGGAAGCAGGCACTATTTTTGGTTCACTGATGGGACGGGGAGGAGGGTGTAGGACCCAATGGGATGAGAAGTGGACCCAAGGCTGTTGGGACTGGGGGGGGGGAGAAAATAGGCCCATGGCCTTTTTGAGGAACTGGTGGGGCAGGATGGGGGAGAAATAGGGGGAGATAAGAGACAGTGTTGCAGCAACCCTGCAGTCAATTGAAAGGGCAAATCCATCTGAATTTTGTCCCTGTGACCACAGGGGTGCTACAATGACTATAACTTTCAAACTGGATCATGAGTAGGAAAGTCCATTGTAAGTTGAGGACTACAGGTAGGTAGGTAGGTATGTAGGTAGGTAGGTAGGTAGGTAGGTAGGTAGGTAGATAGATAGATAGATAGATAGATAGATAGATAGATAGATAGATAGATAGATAGATAATTGCTAAACTCTTGTTTTGATATTAATCAGCATACTCTCTAATCTAAAACGTGCCCTGGAGACCTCTCTAGGTGTAGAGAATGTGAGTCTCAGAAGGTATGACTATATTTTTTCTAATAAAATTTGATTCTAGGGGGCAATTTCCCACCATAAAGAAGCATCGATAATCTAATGACTATAAGTAAAATGCCTAGAGGTGCTGAGGAATTGGGCAGCCTCTGAATAGAATAAATAAATAAACAGGCATGTGTATGAATATGGGTAGGACCTCATGTCTGCAGAAAGTAATATGCAACAGCTTTGAATTTCAATAGAAATAATAATAAGAGCATTTCATAGAATCAAGGCTGAGGATTCTAGCTGCAGAACAAGAGTGCTTTCATTTGTCCTTACTTTAAATTAGTTTGATGACTGCATTAAAATTTTATTTTATTCATTGTCCATTCTTGTTTATGGCAACCATATACTTTTGTTTAATAAATAAATAAATAGTTTTAAAATACTTTGTAATGAGGATTAAAAACTTACACATTGCACTTATTAAAGGGACTTTAATTTTTAATGGTCTGCTGGATAGCTGTAACTAGGGTCTCTTAATTTTGACTTAATAGCTTCGTTGGCTGGGGGACTTAGTATTTTCCAATCATAGCCACTGTCGTCTTCTCCATTGAGGAGCAAGGAAATTGGATTAGGGAAGAGGAAACAAAGTGTTTCTTTGTTCTCTGAATCTTGCTTGGAGGCCTTGCAGTGAGCGAGCACCTTAAGAAAACATATCTGATGGAACTAAACTGAGGAATTCAGGCTGATAATCAAAACCTCCTGGGAGAACTTGAACTACTAAAGTAAAGTTAGCTAGGAAGGTATGAGGATTTTTCATTTCTATTTGCTGCTGCTCACTCAGTTTTGGATAATGTTATATCTGCTCTGATTTTGGGTTGGGTTTGTAATCAGGCCTAATACCTCCAAGTCCACTTAGTTCTGGCCATTAAAAGGAGACACTTTGAAGAGAGGCTTTCCTGTTCTGTCCCATTCAGATGAGAGGCATTTCCCATTTTAAGAACAGATGGTAAAAGAAGACTCTTCCATTTGGGATAGATTCATACCCACATATCTTAGCATTCATGTGGATGGTGTGCAGGTAAAGGCAGGGCTTTTTTTCTCATAGAACACCCAGAATGGAGTTCCGGCACCTTTTTGGGATGAAACCTTGTAGGGTAGGCAAGGCAGGTTGTATGACATGTGTGAGTTCCGGTACCTTATTTTTTATTTTTTATTTTTTTAGAAAAAAAGCATTGGGTACAGATAATCCTCAACATACGACCACAATTGAACCCAAAAGTAATACAGTTGTTAAGTGAGGTTTGCCAAATTTTATGACTTTTCTTGCCACACTTGTTAAGTGAATCACTGCAGCTATTATGTTGGTAACACAGTTGTTAAGTGAATCAGGCTTCCCCATTGTCTTTGTGTCATGGTTCCAATAGATGAAACCATTTAAAAGAACTTCAAGGCAAAGATTTCTTCCCTAAAGAACATTTTATTCAGGAAACAAAAGTATTGGCACTTACATAGTTGAGCCCAAGACTGAAGTTTCCTCTCCCAAATATAAAGTAACAAGTTGTAATTCCCACCCCAGAAAGGCTGTCATAAAACACATTCACCAATTATTCCAAAAGGCGGGCTCTCCTTCCAACTTCTCAACCTGCCAAAACTTTATCTAACATTGACCCTGAGTTCACACACAGCTGCAATTGGTATGGTTAACTGAAAACGCTGGAGCATTCCCCTCATCCCCCCTTCTACATCTAAATATTTCAAACAGCAGAAAAAGCACAGTAAAAGCAAAAGGTAAAATGGTTGCAGTTTCTTAATTGTCACAACGTTGACACTTTGCTTGTCAGAAGATTGCAAAAGGTGATCACATGACCCTGGAACATTGCAACCATCATAAACACATGCCAGTTGCCAGGTGTCTGAATTTGGATCACATGATCATGGGGAGGCTGCAATGGCCATAAGTGTGAAAAATAGACAGAAGTCACTTTTTTCAGTCATTAAATGAATGGTTGTAAGTCAAGGGCTACCTGTATTGAAATCCCAGGGAGAGGTCTGACAGGCTGTAGGTGACAGGCACATGATGCACCACCTCTTCTTTGCCACATCCATAGGAAAAATAAATCACACAGATAATTTCTTCTGAATCTGCTTTACAAACTCAGGATAAGGTGATTTTACAAACAGATTTTTCATCTGCAACCTAAAATAGCTCAGCATGAGAAAAGTACTTTCCTTGTGATTCTGCTGAATGGGAAAAGCAGTTTGGATTCTACTGTATGTCAGATTTGGAATACCATTATGTTGCAAATATTTTATGCCGAACGTCTTTGCCTTTCGTATTTTGTCCATGTTTCTTCCACAGGGATGGTGAATTTTAGTGAAATTTCTGGATATCCTTTGCTACAACATTGGAAGGTTCGCTCTGTCATGTACCATGTTCGATTGAACCAAATGACTACCTCTCAATGTAAGTTACTTGGTGGGGTGGCTTTAGATTGGCCATAGTACCACAGCAGAAGTGGGCTGGGGGAGACCAGCCAAAGAGGCAGCCATTCTAACTTTGTGTTCATCCTGGACATCACTGTTTTCTTTAGTCAGTCATCAGCAATTTCATATGTAAGAGTTAGAAGAGTTAAATATGTCTGGTTGTATACCCAAAAGATCTGTTGAACCCTAATTCCAATGTTGGATGGCAATTTAGAGATTTGTAGTTGCAGATCTGGAGAATACTAATTTAACATATATTGATTCCTAGTTCCATTCTAAACGATTTTCACATTAAAAGGTGTACTACATTTTTATACTGTGTTCTACAATTTTATCCTAAAGTATGCATTTGCAACTAAAGTAAGCTTTTTTTTAACACAGCTTGCATTTCTTTCCATTAAAAACCATGCTGCACAATTCAAAGAATTATAAAAACAGAAAATTTGAGTACAGTGGAAGTCTGGAGAGTGCAAATGAGTTTGCTGAGAATGCAGACTAAATAAAATTTTAAGTGTCTTTATTCAGTCATATTTGCCTTCTTGAATATTTGGTGCTTGTTCACCCTCCTATACATCTTGAAACATGTAGATGACATAAAGCAAATTGGGTGTCTTCATCTTCTCTAGGAGCAGTTTGGAAAAGACCACAAACTGGGTGCCAAAATTTCACCTCATATATTGTCTGTTGAGCATGTAATGTTTTATCCTTTTAAGAAATATTTAAGCTTTTTCTTTTTCAAAATGATTGATGAAAAACATCAGGAAATAGACCAGCAGGTCAAGCAGGATGGCACTGTGGCAGATGTTGCTGTGTCTTCACACAGGGTTTTCAGTCTCAGAAGCTCAACTTTAAATAAAAATGTCTGCGCAAAGACAGTTTATCTGAATATTAAAAGAGGTACTTTAATAGAGAAAAATATTTATCTATTCCATTCATAATAGGGTGTTGTTGATATTTTCTTAGCAACTCTGTAAACAATGTTCCTTAGAAACATAGCATTATTCAATCAAAGATAGCAATTTAATTTTTGACGAGAACTGATACTGTAACAATTTTTGGTCAGCAATTCTTATTGTTTCCTCATCACCCTACAAACTTCATCACCCCACAAACTGCAAAAACAGTTGTGAACAACTAAGAGCCTGCTACTGAAATTAAACATTTTTATAGAGGCTAAAACAAGGGAGTTTACTTCTTTACACAGTGAATTCAGTCCTGAAACATTTGGAAATAGCCACTGACCTTGTTTAAATCACAGTTCCATTAAGTACATTTCACCTCATTTTTACATACAGACTATGCTTTAGGTACTAGAGCGAGCAAGGATTGTTAATCTGCTCATGAGTTTCCAGAAGCATCTAAAAGTAGTAGCAAAATGTCTGTCTGTTTGTCTGTCTGCCTGCCTGCCTGTCTACCTATTCTGCTTTTTCTCTCTCTCTTAAGTTCTTTTTTGCTGTACTTCTGTTCTCTGCAGCGTTTGGCAATGCCCTTCATTCTCTGGATGGAGCAACGTCTCGGGGAGATTTTGTGGCTCTGCTGGATCATTTTGGCAACCACTATATACAGGAAGCTGTCTATGGATTTGAGGAATCCTGCTCTATCTGGTATCCCAACAAGCAAGTCCAAAAACAGCTCTGGCTGGAATATGAAGATATTAGCAAAGGTAAACTTCATTTCTTCCTTCTCCTTATACTGAGACACAGTATGGTAGAGAAGGGCAAGTATCAGTAGTGTGGAGAGGTGATAGTAAAGATTCTGTTGTGGCCAGGAAAATTCTGCACTTGGAACTATTTTCAAAAGGTTGCTTCATCTGCATCATAAACTTTGATTGCATTTTAACAGCTCTCAGGGGTTATAAAGGGGATGAAAGGAAGGAGAACAATTGAAGGGCACAAAATATTGGGCAAAGAAGAAAATTGTGCTGCATTGGAAATCTGACTTGAACTTGGATGTCAGAGCAGATATGACTGTGACAAGGGATTCTTCCACCCTCAGAGATGTGCTGGTCTTTTTGCTAGAGTTGTATAAACTACAATTCCATGGCAGGGAAGTAGAGTTGTGATTGTCATCTGGAATACTCTGCAGGCAATCAAGGGCATTGTTGTTTAGGTAATTTGTGAGTTATTGTTTGTTCAAGATTGGGCTCCAGGGAAAAGTTAGGGCATTGCTTTTACTGGCCTCCATGTTGTACAATTCCTAACTGAGCTTCTTGACCGTGGCACTGGTTGGTACTGGAATCTCCTCCCTCTCTCTCTCTCTCTCTCTCTCTCTCTCTCTCTCTCTCTCTCTCTCTCTCTCTCTATATATATATATATATATATATATATATATATATACACAACACATACACATACACACACACACACACACACACACACACACACACACACACACACATATATATATATATATATATATATATATATATATATATATATATATATATATTTGTTCAATGATGCAATCTTTGATCTCCGGGAAGAGTATACTCCAGTTATTTATTGTTAAAACAACATTTAAAACAATAAAAACAGTTATATACAAGATTAAAACAACTTAGCTTTCGCTGGTCCTCTGCCAGCGTCCTCAGAGTGGGGCTTAGGGGGTGGGAAAGTTCTTTTTATCCCCTTGCTGATCCAATTGCCTACTCATTGCCCTCGTGACAGGGCCACTCTTCCTGATCGCCTGTAACTGCCCTCTCTTTTTTGCACTCTAACATTGTATTTTTCTGCTCTGTCATCCTTGTGCCGTCTCCCCCTCCCTGCGCTGTTATCACCAATACACTCCTCAATCCCTCCTCTCTACCCAATGCAAGGTGCCTCCTCCGATTCGGCACTACACGAGTCCTGTTGGGCTGCTGGTCTGCCTGCCGTTTTTGCATTCCATTGCCAGTTCCTATCTCATCTCCCTCCTCCAACTCCCCTCCTCTCCTAGCCTGCCGATTCATACACCCTTTGTTGTCCATTCCTGTCATCCTTCCCCCCCTTCCTTCAACCCTCCCACCTGTTGATTAACATATTGCTCCTGCCTTTCATCAACCATTCCTATTGATGTTCTCTTCCTCAATGTCTTTTCCTTCCTAATCCGCTGCTCTACCTGCTGTTCCTGTTTACCCTCCTCCACCACTGTCCATCTTCCCCTCTCCAATGTCCTCCCCGTAATCTGCTGACTTGCCTATTGTTCATCCATTTCTGTCCATCCTCTCTTTTCTAGCATTCCTCCTCCTCTGACCTGCTGTCAATTACATAATCTCTGCCCTGAGCTGACCAAGAATGCCACCAAGGTCCTTTTCCAGCACCTGGATGCTATGAAGATCTGGATCGGGAAAATAAGCTTTAACTCATCTCTAGCAACACTACTGCCTATTTTGAATCTATAGACCTTCCATTGTTATTTCTGGATGGGGTAACATTTCCTCAGAGCCTTTGTTCTGAGTCCCTGCTTGACAAATTGGTAGCTGTTAGGTCCAAGAGATAACACTGAAAAAAATGCTTTATTCATTTACTCCCAGTGGACCAAAACTTGCTAAACTAAAGCTATAAATCCTAACCCTAACCTACTAGGTATATCCTGAGGGATTCTAGGGCTACCCTGAACCTTGTCCTCCTTTCCCCATCCAGCTCAAGACTGTACAGACTTTTAATCTAGACCTCTTTCTGGGAAAGCTTTCTGCTCCTGCAGCTACATATTTCATCACGTCAGCAGCTGGAAAGTTGTTGCACAAAACTCATCTTGTGTGCCAGTTATATTTGTGCATAGATTGGGAGACTCTGTCATGTTCACTCTTGCCTGAATTACTTCCCAGCTGGACTACTGCCTCTGCAACAGCCTACCTCTATACATTCAGTCTAGTCTCTACCTATTATATTTTTGAGCAGTTGTGAAAACATAACTCTTCATCTGAGCATAGTTGAAGGTTCTGCTGCCTAGATGGTGATATATCAGGGGCCTCTTGTTGTGTTTATGTCAATACTTTTTTATGTTTTAACATTGGGTTCTTATTTGTAAACTATTCAGAATCCTGGGAAATGGAGCAGCATATAAGCTGAAATAGTAAATAAATATACTAACTAACAGACCCATGAACTTCTCAGCATTCAAGGGAACTACTCAAAAAATAACTTTGTGCTATAGAAACTTGGGCTAGTTTTGTAAGACTTGCAATTTTCCATTCACGAGACAAAATTTATATAGAGTTGAGATGGCAGAGATGTGTTGTTGCTTCTGTGAAAGGAAGTGTGCAGGACTAGTGATGGAGAGGCTGCTGTTCTCTAAAGCTTGATGTTATTTAAAAGCACTCTGTCTCAACATTCACCTGTAAATTGCTCATCATGTCCCTGTTGCTCTTTCACAAGGTAATGAGGGTGTTTTTTTAGCTAAGGACAAAGATTGGCAATTTATTCCCAATCAAAGACCGAACTTTCTGTAATTCTCTAGCCCACGGGTCGGCAACCCACGGCTCCGGAGCCACATGCGGCTCTTTGAGCCATCTCCTGCGGCTCCGGAGCCTCCTCCTCCCCCCTCCTCCCCCCTTCTTCCTCCTGCTGTCCCCCCAGGCTTCAGTCCCGGCTGGGGCGGCAGGAACATCACTTCCTGGGCCATTGAGCTGGCCACGTGTCTGCCCGTGCCAGGCGGAAATCCCGGCTGGGGCGGTGGCGGCGTCATCTCTCCCTGGGCTGTCCCCTGGCCACTGAGCCGGCTATGCATCTTTCCAGGCTGGGCCGGGCAGCAGTCCAGGCTGGGGCGGTGGCAGGAGGGCATTGCTTCCTGGGCCGTCCCCAGGCAGCTGAGCTGGCCACGCATCTCCTTGGTCCGGGCTGAGCAGCAGTCCCGGCTGGGGGAGCGGCGGCAGGGGCATCGCTTCCTGGGCTGTCCCCAGGTCGCCGAGCCGACCACGTGTCTGCCCGGGCCAGGTGGCAGTCCTGGCTGGGGCGGCGGCAGGGGCATTGCTTTCTGGGCCATCCCTGGGCCGCTGAGTCGGTACGCGTCTCCCCAGGCCGGACTGGGTGGCAGGGGGACATTGCTTCCTGTGCCGTCCCTGGGCCACTCACCCAGCCATATGTCTCCCTGGGCTGGGCAGGCTGCAGCAGGGGGGAATCACTTCCTGGTCCGTCCCCAGGCCATTCCCTAGGAGCCAAGCTCACCACGCATCTCCCCGGGCTGGTCCGTGGGGTCCCGGGCACCTCTCAGCGACTTTTACTGCCTCCTGCCTCCCTGCCCCTTTGGCGCCGTTTGCCTTTCTTTCTCTCTCTCTCTCTTCATCTGGAGGGGGGGGCAGAGGAAAGAGAGAAAGAGAGAGGGTGACTTGTTCGGGCAAAGAACCAGTGGGGGACAAGGCGAGCTAAATCAAAAGACACGGAATGTTCGTGCTAGCTTCTCCCGAATACTTGTTATCCCTGCCACAAACTCAGCTCATCCGTCCTCACTCTCTCTTCTCCTCTCCTCTCTCTGCGGACGAGGCTGCTTGCTTCAAATGGTTTGCTACCAAGGCCCGGGAGCCAGGCAGGCGGGTAAGTCTCGATCGCAGTATTTTGTTGCTGTTGTTTTGCGCACGCGTGGCGCTGGTTGGGAACAGAGCCAAGCAAGCTCTATGGTTGGAAGTCCCTGCAGCTTAGGAGCCAGGATTTCCCCCCTCTCAGTCCCAAATCCCAAGCAGGATTCACCACTTTGGGATTGGAAGTGAGCTGCGAGGAGATGGTCTGTCTCTTTTCCTCCCCTGCTCTCTTCCGCGCCGGCTACTGAGGCTCCCTGCCAGGTGCAGTCGGCTTGAAGCGGAGGAGGGGGAGGGGCCTTTCAAAGCGTGACATTGCAATGGATGAGACAGCCTTTCAGGAGGGTGCGGATGAACTGTAGCTCTCCAGATATTGCTAACATACAGCATTTGCTGTCCCTGCAGCAGAATTGATGCGAGGTGCTGGCATTTCTCTTTGTCAGAATGTGATGAATCTGCATTGCCCATCTCTAAAGGAGGAAGTTAAATGTTTTGGTAGGTGAACTGGTTCTGTTAGTAAAGGGGGGGAGGTGAAGAGAGGGAGAGAGGGAGGAAAGAGGGAGGAAAGAAAGAGAAAGAGGAAAGGAAGAAAGAGAAAGGGAGAGGAAAGAGAGAGGGAGAGGGGAGAGAAAGGAAAGAAAGAAAGAGGGAGAAAGAGAAAGGGAGATGAAAGAAAGGGAGAGGGGGAGAGAGAGAAAAGAGGAAGGGAGAGGGGGAGAGAGAGGAAAGAGAAAGAGGAAAGAAAGGAAAGAGGAAAGGGAGAAAGGAAAGAAAGAGAAAAGAAGAAAGAGAAAGGGAGATGAAAGAAAGGGAGAGGGGGAGAGAGAGGAAAGAAATAGAAAGAGGGAGAAAGGGAGGAAAGGGAGAAAGAGGAAAGAAAGGAAAGAGGAGAGAAAGGGAGAGGGGGAGAGAGGAAAGAAAGGAAAGAGGAAAGGGAGAAAGAGAGGAAAGGAAAGAAAAAGGAAAAAGAGAAAGGAAGAAAGAAAAGAAAGGGAGAAAGAGGAAGGAAAGAGGAAAGAAAGAAAGGGAGAGGGAGAGGAAAGAGGGAGGAAAGAGGGAGAAAGAAAGGAAAGAGAAAGGGAGAAGAAAGAGGAAAGAGAAAGGGAAGTAGAGGAAAGGTAGAGAGGAAAGGGAGGGGAAAGAGAAAGAGGGAGGGAGAGGAAAGAAAGGAA